AAAAAAAAAAAAATCAATTCAAATTCTCAAACTTCTTGCCTTCTTCGAATTATTAATCTCTTTAATTAATTCAATTCAGGACATGACCACTCAAATTCTCTTCAATGAATTGAATTTAGAATATGACTCGAACTAATGAACATGTAATGAACACTGATAACTCAGGTCATACAGTATGTTTACCTTCAACAGGCGGTCTTTGCCGGCACAAGCCGCGAGTTCAATGTTGGTGTAAGAAGGAGCGGCGCGCTGGGGATGAAAACCGGTTTCATTAGCCCGGCCGCAGACCCCCAAATCACCAAGTTTACCAGTGGATAAGTAATTTGTACGGCGGGGTTTGCCTACCGTTTTATTTAAACTGAAATAGCCGGAGCGAGTGAAGTTAGCGGCATGGCGGAAGCGGCCTGGATTGGTTTCTGATAGAACAAGCTTAATGCGGCAAAACTCGGTGGTCGCCGCCATTTCTATGACGGGAGTAAGGTGTTGAGCTTGTAGATGGTTTGCGGATGAATTGTATGGTGTGTTCGTTTTACAGCCACGAAAGAGGAATATAGACCGACGGGCAACTGCTATCACCTAAAAAGTTAATTAAAAAAAGAAAAAAAATGTAATACTATACAATCCACTTGGATGATAACTAGTTGGATGACAATTAGTGTTACAATATAAGTGTAAATGCGTTACTTTTTTATTTTTTTGACAATGTATTTACATTTGTGTTGTAAACAAGTTGTCAACTAAGTGGGCGAAATAGCATTTTAAAAAAAAAATAATAAATAAATAAAAATGAAAAGAAAGAAAAAGGGCGTGTTCCTCGTAGTTTTTAAACTCGGCAGATATTGAGCTAGGGCAAGTCTCAGTCATCGGTTCAACTGTCAGGTCGCTTGGTGAATTGTTGAACCGGATAATTATTTGAATTTTTTGGAGAATGGGATAATTAATTTTAAGATTCTTAAACTTATATATATAGTATTTTTTAAATATAAATATACATAAAAGTAACAAAAATAAATATTTTGTATATAAAATTTATACATCAAAGTGTTAAAAGAATTGTATCTTACAATAAAAATTTACTATATCATATATTTACATAGTTTTTATACCGGGTCAACCGGGTTGACTCGGTCGGGTCAAGGCCCGGTTCGACCGGGTCCATTGTTACCCGGTCCAAATAGCCCACCGAGTCCCCGGTCAACCCGTCGGGCCAGTCCGGGGAAAAATCAATGGTGTTACTATTTACCGCCCCTTATTACTACATATCTTCCCCTTTGGATTTGTCGATGACATCTTATCTAAAAAGTAAAAAAAAATAAATAAATAAATTCTCATGCCTTCCATCTGGAGAAACCAGCCGTAATTGCCGATTGGCCGCACCGTGCACGGCCTTTTTTCCCGGTTGACCGTTTTATGGACGGTTTTGCCGGTAAGCCGTGTTGGGATCTATGAGGATCTCGTTATGTACAAATCACGAATTCAATAGCAAAAACGTAAACCTATGCGCAGCGGATCTAAAGGTTTGCGTAGAGAACTTACGACTTAAAATTTATGGCGATCTAGTTGATCTTCTGGATGGTCGTACACAGCAGACCAATGAATAGTTGACTGCAAATCGCGTCCTAGGATTGCACGAACAAGATCGGATCGAAAATCGGATCAAACAGTTGCAAGACGGATGAAAACAAGCTTGCAGTCCTGGGACCTTCCGGTGGCGCGTGCGGCGTCGGACGGCGGCGATCTCTGGGGCATTGGAAAGCTCTCGTCGAGACGGCCGTCTGGGTATGTTGCACGCCTTGATCGGACCTCCGGTTAGTATTTACCTACAGATTTTCTACTGTATGTCTCAAACACCTCTTAATCTTGTACCGATAGAACAACAAGAAGAAGATAAAGCTCGAATGGGAAATGAGAGAGAGAGAGAGAGAGAGAGAGAGAGATGGGGCGGCGTGTATGTCTCGTGAATTATGAGATGTGTTCTCTTCCCATGAGCTTAATGATGTATATATAAAGCTACAGTATGGACACTTATGAAATTATAATTAGGGCTCCTTAATTAATTAAAATACTTGTGGACCAATCCACTTATTTCAATTAATTAAATAATATTAAATGGGCCACCAACATAATATTATTGCACTCATTTTTCCTAGCCTAAATTTACAATTGAGACTCTAATAATAATTACTCAATTTATCTCCTCATATATAAGATATAATGTACATTAATTAATTCGATTACTGACAATTAATAATTAATTAATTTATTTATTATTATTTCACCAAAGCTAGCGCTCGTTCATCACATTCATATTATGTCGGAATTTAATCCACCTGCAGGGTTTAGCATAACATTCCTTCATGAACTTACTATGGGGACATCATCAAACTAACGCACATGGTGACCGTAAATATCCTAACAGCACATCCTACATGCCGCAATATTACCCAAGACAGCAGGTCTATTGGCCCAGTTCACTAAGCCTCACCCATGTGAATCAAAGTATTAAGTACTACACGTATATGTCTGTTTAATATCTTACGGGTTAAGAGTATGCAGTAATTAACCGAGGCCTACTCCGTTTACGACGATCAGTATAAAACGAACTGCTCCTCTCTGGAATCCTGTTAATTACATAAATGTACTAGTGCAACTAATCAGTCAAGACAAACTGTACAGTTGACACTACAACCGTTCTGATAGGGTGTTCATGCCCATCTAGGTTGTGAACCATTATTCTTGTTTCGCGAGTAACTGATAGTATGATCTTCGGTTCGCCCGATGACGACCCACACTATCTAATGCAAAACAACAGAACGTAGAACATGTTTAATCTAACATGTTTCTCATTCATAAAGGGTAAAAGTGTAATATCATCCAAAGCCAACCTTTCAGTATATAACACTAACAATCTCCTACTTATACTCAAAGCTTTCGCTTTTACAAGTATAGTCCTATCAATCCTTTATTCTAAAAGACCTATGTCGATCCTATCGCCATGCACTTGACTCCCATTCCTAGCACCTGTTTGACGAAGACCTTCTCCGGCAAACTCTTCGTGAAAGGATCAGCTAGGTTGTCCTCAGATGCAATCTTGGCAACATCAACGTCTCCTCGACCAACTATATCTCGAATCAGATGGTAGTTGAGATCTATGTGTTTGCTTGCTCTGTGGGCTCGTGGTTCCCTTGAGTTTGTTATTGCTCGACTATTATCACAGTACGTGATACCACGTGGCAAACTCAGAATCACTTCTAAGTCCACTAAGAAGTTTTTGAGCCAAACTGCCTCTTTCGATGCCTCTGAGGCTGCTATGTACTCGGCTTCCATGGTGGAGTATGCCACGCATTTCTGCTTAGCACTCCTCCATGAAATGGCTCCACCTCCCAAGGTAAACACATAACCAGAGGTTGACTTACTCTCATCCCTATCTGACTGGAAATCAGAATCACTGTAACCCAGAGGTAACAAGCTGTCTGCACGGGAAACTAACATGTACTCCTTAGTCTTTCTCAAGTACTTGAGTATATGCTTCACCGCAAACCAATGTTCCCTACCCGGATTACTTTGATATCTAGCTACTAAGCCAACGACATAGCTGATATCTGGTCTGGTACAAAGCATAGCATACATAAGACTTCCTACTTTTAATACATAAAGACTGTCTTCATGTCCTTAATCTCTTGAGACGTCTTGGGAGAAATCTCTTTAGAGAGGGATGCCTTTCCTGAAAGGCAAGGTACATTTCTTGGAATCCTGCATGCTGAACCTAGCCAAGACAATATCTATGTATGAAGACTAGGATAAGCACAAAATTCTCTTCTTACGGTCTCAAACGACCCTAATACCAAGAATGTGTCCCGCTTCTCTAAGTCCTTCATACCAAACTGCTTAGACAACCACACCTTTACGTCTGACAACTCCTTCTTATGGTTTCCAATAGGAAGTATGTCATCCACGTACAGTGTAAGAAACACCACCACGCTCCCACTGATTTTCTGGTATACGCAGTGCTCATCCGGACATTGAGTGAACCCGTACGACTGGATCACCTCATCGAACCGAATATTCCAAGACCTCGAAGCTTGCTTCATTCCATAAATGGAATGATTAAGCTTACGCACTAGATACTCACGACCTTCAGCAATGAATCCTTCTGGTTGTTTCATATAGATGTCTTCCTGAAGGTTTCCATTAAGGAAAGTCATCTTGACATCCATCTGTGAGACCTGATAATCCATATGAGCGGCTACAGCCAAGAGCATCCGAATGGACTTAAGCATAGCTACTGGCGAAAAGGTCTCATCATAGTCTATACCCTCAATCTGGGTATAACCTTTTGCAACAAGCCTAGCTTTGAATGTTTGCACCTCCCCATCCGATCTTCTCTTTCTATTGTAGATCTACTTGCATCCAATGGGTCGTACCCCATTGGGTGGTTCTACAAGATCTCAGGCCTGATTAGAGTCTATTGACCCCATTTCTGCATTCATTGCAACATTCCCTGAATCTGTATCTTTATCTTGGAGTGCCTCATTGTAGGTCCTTGGGTCCGATTCTAGATTTCCTGGAACAAAGCCCTTAGACTCTCCGAGACCTATCCATCGGTCGGGTAACTGAGAAACCCTCCCACTACGATGAGGTACTGTCTGCACTGGTACACTCTCAGTGTGCCGTGTTGCAGTATTATGTGATGTATCTATTCGCGCACTCGGTGGGGAACTATCGACTTTTCCCCTTAACTCCTCTAAGACTAGTCTACTGGCGGGCTTGTGATTCATAATATAGTCTTCTTTCAAGAATCTAGCATTCATGCTGACGATCACCTTCTGATCCTCGGGACTATAAAATAATCCAACTTTCGTTTCTTTGGGATAGCCCACAAAAACTCGTGCTTCTGAATGCTTTTTCAATTTGCCAGCCTCCTTCACTAAAACGTGTGCAAGGCTACCCCATACTCGAATATGTAAGAAACTGGGCTTTCGCCCTTTCCACAATTCGTAAGGAGTAGTCTCTCCTAACTTTGATGGAACCAAGTTCAGAACGTATGATGTTGTTTCCAGGGCCAAACCCCAAAACGAATCTGGTAATCTAGAATAACTCATAATTGACCTAACCATTTCCATAGGAGTCCTATTTCTTCGCTCTACAACCCCGTTTGCTGGGGCATGCCAGGTGCAGTCAATTGGGATTCAGTCCCAAGTTCTATAAATATGTCATGAACTCTCCAAACAGGTATTCGCCACCTCGATCAGATCGAAGTGACTTGATACTTTTACCATGTAGCTTCTCCACAACTGCCCGATACTCCTTGAATTTCTCAAAGCATTCCGACTTGCGGTGCAAAAGATAAATGTACCCAAATCTCAAATAATCATCTATAAATGAGACAAAATACTCGAAACCTCATGTAGCCTGAATCGACATAGGACCACATAAATCAGAATGAATCAATCCTAACAATT